TATATATATATATATATATATATATTATTTTAGTGTTTATTAGTATCGGATTCATGCACCATTTTTCTTTATTTTGTATTGAGACTTATAAGTAATAAAAAAAGCTAAGTATATTAAAATGGTTGCTATTAAATCACAAATTTATTTTTTACATAAAATCACAAATTCTTATGCTCTGAAAAAGACACTTGGAAGCTTAATTATTCATTCATATATAATGCACCTATATACACGTGACATTAATTTAAAACAAATAGAATGATCTTCATCCGAAACAACAATTGATCACACTCAAACTTCATACCACTTCAAACTTCTTAATCACATTGCTCATCTTTTTGAATTCTATATTCTCATCTGATGCCCTTCTTCACTTGCCCTATATATCCTTCCGAGACTTTATTTGCAACAATAGATGTTCTAAATCCTTGATGATACGGAAAGCACAAAAGATGACAGAAAACATGCATGCATATTTTGTAGACCCGATCGAGAGTCATCTAGCTCTGCAATATATATAGCCTAAGGAAGAGTAGAAAAAGGTGGTAGTGGAGGCCATTTCCCATACTTGGGGTGATGGAAAAAGGACTTTGGAGGTAGTGGAGGCCATTTGGGATGATGGAAAAAGTGCTTTGGAGGGAGTTTGGGAAGTGGTGGAAGTGGCTTGAGTGGAGGCAACTTAGGGAGTGGAGGAAGTGGCTTCTTGTAGATTGGAACCGGTGGTAGAAGTGGATGCTTAAACTTTGGTGGACATGGCTTCTTGGTTGGAACCGGTGGTGGAAGAGGAGGAGGCTCAACCTTTGGTGGTTTTGGAGGAGGTTCAACCTTTGGTGGTTTTGGTTTTGGAGGAGGCTCAACCTTTGGTGGGGATGGCTTTGGTGGTTTTGGCTTTGGAGGAGGCTCAACCTTTGGTGGGCATGGCTTTGGTGGTTTTGGTTTTGGAGGAGGCTCAACCTTTGGTGGGCTTGGCTTTGGAGGTTTTGGTTTTGGAGGAGGCTCAACCTTTGGTGGGCATGGCTTTGGTTTTGGTGGAAGAGGAGGCACAACCTTTGGTGGGGATGGAGGAGGTTCAACCTTTGGTGGGGATGGAGGAGGTTTATAGACAGGCACAGGAGGAGGGAGAGGTTTATGGAAAGGAGGAAAGAGAGGGTGCTTATAGAAAATCTTCGGTGGCAATGGTGGAATTACTATAGGGGGGAAGGTGATAGGAGGATGAGGAGGAAACTTAGGCAAGAGGGGGTGCTTCCAAAAGAAGGCTGAAGCACACGTCACTGATAAAAACTTGAGTTTCCCAACTGGACCAAGGGTGTGTTTGTCATCAGCTTTTGACTTTAAGACAATTTTGGTGCTGAAAGGGCCATCATGGGAAGGACATGGTGCAGCTGATGCACTGAGTAGCTGAGCATAGCACTCTTCTTTGAGTTCACCAGCTTTTACAATGTCATGAGGAAGGGACACTTTGAAGTTTCCATTTTCATCAACCTCACCAACCCCTCTCCTTTCAAAGTGTCCACTTGCTGCCTTGCAGTCTACTGACACGCGTAGCCCTACAGAAAAGTAATCCACAAGATTAATAACTTTTGCACACCTAACATCTAGAGAGAGATAAAGAAACAAGTATAAGAAACTAACATAAATAAAGCGTTTGATATATATGTATGAGTGATCATCAGTTTTATGTATTCTTCAATTTGGCTTCTTTACAAGTGTAATTTAAAGCCAATCAATTAAGTGCGGCTATAACCATGCATTATGGTCTACACTCTACACTCATGCATGTTTAGAAGAGATCAACTTTTTGCACTAGTTTTTCAAGTCAAAACTCAAAATAGGTAGAAGGAACCATGAATCTCAAATTCCTATATCCAAATAGGTAGGAGAAACATGAGACTAAAATTATCTGCCACGTTAGACCGTAAAAATATATAGCCTACAAAAATGGGCGTGTAATGGACACCTTTCTGGGTGGTCAGAAGTACTGATGCAACTGTGGTTAAAAATAAACATAAAAAATCTATAATGTGCATGTACTATGTCATTGAGACAATGTACCTGAGAAAGCCTGGCTAGTTTTAATATTTTTTTCCTTGCAGTCTGCGCATTCTCCAAGTCCAACTACCTCAACTGTGCTATGGTCACCATAGCAAAATTCTACTACCACAAAAAGCACAGACAACCAGAAGCACAGAAGTGCTCCTTGGCGCCGGGTGAAAATCTGCATAAGGAACTGCTATTACAGTTCCTAATGACAATATGCAATAAGGGAGAGAAAAGAATAAAGCAGAATTAGAACTGAGAAGCTGTTAAGCTTCTATGGTTTGTGACTATACTGTTTGATTCTGAAGCCTAATATATACAACCTTGGATATTATGTCACCGACACTGAAATTAAGAACTTCACATGGTGCAAGGGCCGATATATGAGTAGGGATCCTCAAAGAAAAAGACTATAACGTGCTCACACCAGCTTTCCATTAACAAATTACTATCTAATTCATTGAATGCATGGTTTCTCAACCGCACAGCTAAAGCATGTCTTTATGTGAAATATCTGTCACAACCTACTTAAATGGTACTCTAATAAATGCTTTTTATTGCATTACTGAGATGTTAATTGATTTGACAAAGAATTCCAATGTTTTCTCTTCCTCACGCATGAAAGGATGAAGTTGATTCTTGCTAACAGCCAAGAAAGTTTCCTAGCTTGAGCTGTTACCGAGATTAACGTGAACCATTCAAGTCAACCGTTTCTTTATCACTCAAACCACACATTTAGAAAATTTATAAAAAATACAAAATATTGGTGTTGATGTCACTAGGGAAGAAAAAAGACAACATATATGACCTTGTGCTCAAACACCTGCATAGGTGTTGAGACTTAAGAAAATAATTCAAATATTTGAGATACTATTTAGATTTTAAAAGATATTGATTTTTTTTTAAGACATTGAGTATAATTGAAATATATTATATTTATTTTAAATATTTATTTTCTCTTCTAATATTAAGATGTAAGGGCAATAAATAAAAATTTTTAACATAAAAAGAAATCATCTAACTTATAAAGGGATATACTGTCTTAAACGAAAAAGGGATCATGTCAAAGAAGGTTTTCAAGTTTCGCCAAAAAAATTGTGAAAGAAGATTTCAAAGTTTTGTTTAAAAAACTTGTAATAAAAGAGTTTTTGTGTTTCACCTATAAAACTTGTGAGGAAAGGATTTTCAAATTTCACCTATAAAACTTGTGAGAATGGGTTTTTAAGTATCACCCATAAAACTTGTAAGAAAAGATTTTCAAATTTCATTCACAAAACTTGAAGATAGGATTTTCAAGAATATACATGTAATACATTTGAAAATAATAAACATCCTTATAAACATAGATATGAAGGGCTGAACCACATTGTATAAAATTTTGTGTGATCTTTTTATATTTCTTTATGGTGTTGGCTTATTTATATTCTCTCATCCTTATGTTTAAAAAAGAAGTTTTTTTCTTTTTTTCCAACAGTGGTATCAAAGCTTCAAGTGACTGACTCAAAGTCTCGAATAAATATTTAGTAATGGGAGACAGATCCCTTGAATTGAAAGTTTTCCTAGTAGTGTGGATGTTAGGTTACGTGTTTCGTTGATGTGAGCTAACGATGGTGTAATTATTTAGAGTTGTCACCACCTTAAATGAGAGGTCTCATATATATATGTATGTATATATATATATATATAT